ACACACACACACACACACACACACACACACACACACACACACACACAACACACACACACACACACACACACACACACACACACACACACGCCCACACACAAGTATATTTACATTTATACATATTTGCCAATGTGATACATTTGGCGCATATGCCACCATACGTGGCGAACAAAGCTATTATATACATGGCGATCTCGCAGTGACGGTAAAATTAAGGCGCACATCTATACGTAGTTTAAACGACACGCTCGGGTCAATAAAGCGGTGAGCGACCTTGCCAATGCTATACGTATTTTACGATGGCACTGCAATCACCGTCTACAACCGCAACGATACACTCTCGTAATTCCTGGCGTTTATCACTGCGTTAATGCTGAATCAACTAATGTTACTGCTCGCAATAACTGGCGAGATTTGCCATGGCAGTTTCCGCGTGAGGCTCTAGAGTCTAGAGTAATATGTGGGTCATATATGGGCAAGAACGTCGCGTTGTGGCTGACACATGATTTCGCATCGTAAATGTGATATGAAGTTTCTAACCTATTTATGCGTGATTATTGTGATCGGAAATAATTGTGATACAGACACTGCGTGTAATCAAATAAAAAACATTATGGGGCGTGAGAAACGAGTAATATCCGCACATATAGCTGTCTAGCTACCTTTGTTTCTTGTCAACTGTGATCATGAGCGTATCCTCAAATGTTAAGCGCGTCTGAAAAATGCACCGCTTCTGCAAATCAATTACCCCTTGTTAGTATAATATACAATAAGTGCGTTTTTTGTTGATCTTTCAGTTTTCGGCCGTGATTAATGCTGTGCTGGCCCTCTTCAGCATCCTGGTCGTCGCTAGTTTCGCCTGCCTCTCTCTCTTCTACGCCGACAGCAAGAACTGGACGCAGGGAGACGGATTCTTTCCCTTCGGAGTGTCCGGGGTATAGATTCGACAGCAACAATTGAACGCAATCCTATCGACTCCCCGCGCCGCGGTTTATCCAACTTGCCTGCCGCGAGGCTTATTCAAATGAGAGCGTTGCGATGCAGCAACGACGGCTAGGCGGTATTTTTGGAATTATACGTAATTAGTCTGGCAGAGACAAGAGTGCGCGCGATGTGAAGTACTGTTATTTCGTGATAATCAACCGTAACGACTGTGAGCGCAGCTGCGCTGATGCTCAACGCATCCATTATGGCGCCGTATTTACTCTAGTCGTGTTTGTTCTACGTAGCGATGACATACTCAGCGACAACTGGCTGATTTGTCAGCCGACGGCGGGACGGCTTTACTTTAAAATTAACGGCCAATGCAGAACGCGTTCGGAACGGGTTGGGTGGCGCGGGGGATACCGACTTACCGCACGTAAATAAACGTACCGCACCGACGCGTTACCGACTCCGATCTCAAAACAGAGATGCTGAAGCCATTGGAGCTGTGTACTATCTTTGCGACGAGCACTTTGGTACATGGCGACGCGACACGTTCTAATTTCATTAATCGTAGTCTGTAAAATTCGATCGCCCAGGCTTTTTTTTACGAATTTTGACGGTTGCACGTGTAGAAGTCAATGTTAAAAACGTACGCCGCGATAAACACAGATGAACACTGAAATGTTCCATGGATGACAAAGTTCGTGAATAGTTGTGGCTAATTAACGCGTAATTATCGTCGTCGTTAAGTGTAATGACGATCGACAACGACGTCGTTTATACGGAGTTTCGTTGTCGGCTTATACAGCAGAGAACATCGGGTAGAAATCAGCTCGTCCCCACGGGGGTGTTAGTCGTCTGTTGCAGACAAATGCTCCGATGACGTCATCTTCTCGGCTTGGAGTCGTACTAACTCAGCATCTCGAGCTGCTTATAGCTGGCTATGTTCCCGAGTGGCCGTAGCAGCATGCGGAGGACGCATTAGTCGTCTCCTATTCGTCATGCGTCTCTATATACTTCAGGTTATGTCTGGAGCGGCGCTGTGTATCTACGCCTACGTCGGCTTCGAGACTATCGCCACAGCTGCCGAGGAATGTCGCAAGCCAGACAAGCAAGTACCCGCAGCTCTCTTCATCACGTTCATGGTGACATTTTTGGTGAGGGAGCGCTGGTTCGTTTAGTGGTGGTATGGGCACGGCTTTGTCGCATAGTCTGGGAATGTATTCTCGGCGACAAACATTGCAATTACGTGTGTGTGTGAGCGTGCGTGTGTGTACGCTGGCTCGCACACACACTCGTTGGCACGCAGACACATGACACACACTCGTTGGCAACGCTGCGTGAGATGAAATTAAATCTGTACAACACAGATGAGAGTCTACTAAATTAAGGGCGTGCGGTTAATTAGAGCTACATAGTGCTGAAACAATGTAAATATTAATCAGCTTCAGTTTTCATTACAATGAACCTTTTTTTATTAACTTATCTCCAGTCTCACTGCAAACGGCGACAACAGTTTTTAGGAAATTGATGTGCTCTGATATTAGTTCATAGTGATGTAGGAATTATTACCCCGGCGCAGCTTAGCTTGAGAACGGGCACACACATACGCACCTATGCACGCACGCACGCACGCACCTATGCACACATCCACAATATATCGCACCTACCCATCCAGTACATACGCGCGCATATGCTCGCGTATACATCTTTTTTTAAACTCTACCTTGGTGGAATGTTTGTGGATGAGCGTGCGTGCGTGCGTACGTCTCCATGTGACTGTGTAAGAGTGTGTTTATGCCGGAGTGCACGTATTTGTCCAAAGTGTGTTTGTGTGCGCGAGTGTGCGGGTGCATTTATACACGTTTGTGTCTTATCCATTGGTGCGCGCGTGCGTGTATGCATCTTCGGGCGAGTCTAATGCCTGCGAGCGTGCATATGCGCGAAAATATCCCAAGAAAAAAAAATCCCATCATTAAACGTTCTCGCGTTGCTGTTTCCGCGAGATATTATAACGCTGCGCAATTTATAATCATCCCGATATTTTTTTAATTATTAGCGCCCTTATAGGTGGAGCTATCATCTCATAATGTAGTTGCGTATCTAATGGGATCTCTGCTGATAGACAGCCTACGTGACAGTGCAGCATCACTGTGCGAGTGAACCATGCGGGTGGAAGCGTTCCGAATGATCAATTAAGTCACTTAATGGCTGTTTTCCGGAGACAACATTAGTGTCGACGTGGAAGCTTGATCAACGCGACGCGACATGTCAACCTTTCAATAAACGATGGTGCTATTGTTAAATGCGCGTGCGCACACGCGCGACTGAGAAATAGGAGGATTTTTCTCGACGCGGCGCGTTATGTGCAGAAAGCTGGTTATCGATTTGCCATTATGTAGATAAGGGAGGTTTTTATTTGTGATGTTGATGGATTTTTTACGTTTTGAACTACGTTTACGTCCATCATATAACCAGACACTTTGACAATGTCTAACTTTAGTTAACTCTATTTCTTATCATAGAGAGGGGATATAGACTTAGAGTGGATAGTAGTGTTAGTGTAAAATAATGTAAAATATCTCTAATCGTGCATATAATCTTAACTCTACCACTGATCTTACGAGTAAATTTAACATTTAAATAAAATATTAATACAAATAAAAAGCACATAAAATCAACAATAACGCGCGCGGTGGGTCGCGCATGAAATCCGCTAGTTGGCATTGCCTTATATAGGCAAAATATAGTAATAAAAAAAATGAAAAAATAATATTGAGGGATGGGTGAAGCGGATTAGGTTTCGCCAGCGCCGACATGACGCGTTATTTTGTTCTGGCTTCAGCTCTTCTTCATCGTCACGTGCGTCGTGACGCTGACGGTGCCGTACTCGCAGCTGTCGCACGTCGCTCCGCTTCCGAACATGTTCGACCAACGTCACGTGACTGGAGCGACGTACATCGTCGGCACGGGCGGCCTCGTTGCTCTCACGTCGTCACTCATCTCTGCCGCCTTCCTCGTTCCGCGCCTCACATTCTCGATGGCGCGGGATGGTCTGCTGTTTCCGTTCCTGCGCACCATCTCGCCGCGCACGGACACCGCGTGGATTTCGATCGTCCTCGCAACGGTGCTGTCCTCTAGCGTCGCGCTCGTCGTTGATCTCGACTCGCTCATCGAAATTCTGTCGGCCGGCACGCTGCTAGCGTACACGTGCCTCCCGTTAAGCGTCATCGTACTGCGATACAGACCCGACAAGGTCGGTTTCGAAGCGGGAGAGTATAAGAAGCCGATCTCGCGAGAAACGACGGGATTGTCGGGAATTTCTCGCTCGTCGTCGGTCGTGTCCCGCCAGACGGAGAAGGAAGAGGAGACGGAGGTCGGCGGGGGCGGAGTGGGTGGGGGCGGAGTGGCGACTGCGACGACGAAGAAGGTGAAGAAATCGAAGAGCCTGTCTTCCCTGCGCATGTCGAAGAGCTTCAGCGAGAGTTCTGAGCTGCTCACGACGCCCTCCGGCGGACAGAAATACATTCTTTTTCATGCCAAGGGCAACTCGGTGGAAAGGAAGAAGCGGATGTCCACCGGCGCTGCTGCTGCTGCTGCTGCTGTTGCACCGAAGCGGAGTGGTGCGTCCACATCCGGTAGTCAGGACGCCGAATTACCGCCAGGTGGCTGTTCGTCCTCTTATCAGAGGTACGAAAAGTCCCTGCCGGGGATGGCTCATGATGGTGCGCCCTACACAAATAACGATGCCCTTGCGATAGAGACGGCCGTGAAGAGCAGCGAGCCAGCGGCAGAGCCGAACGAGACGACGAGTCGCATCGTCAACGTCTGCGCATGCGTGATCATACTGCTAACGCTCGCTGCGAGCGTCATCGCCGAGCTCGAGCGAGATCGACTGCCTGGCGACCCCTTGTGGGCGATAGTGACAATATGCGTGCTGCTGTCGTTGGCGATACTGTGCGTGGGCGCCATCTTGAGGCAGCCGCAGAGTCGAACTAATCTGACATTCAGTGTGCCGTTCGTCCCGATCCTGCCGCTCTTTTCGATCGCCATCAACGTGCTCTGTATAGCGAAACTACCCGCAGTGGCTCTAGTGCGCTTTGCCGGGTGGCTGGGACTAGGTAAATATGTGCGGACTGGAGCGCACGCGTTCACCGATTGGGACTATATATTTAGCTCCTTGATTGGGACGAGCGCTCGAGAGAACGCGTAATAGTTCGATATGAATCGCGATTGCTTTTAGAGAAAAAGTTTTGCAGCTGCGCTGTCTGCGAGCGCGCCTAACTATCTTTCGCTTTGCCGAATCTCCTAGCTGCTCGTCGATTTATTTTATCGATTATTTTTTACTCCATGTACCACTATGCCGCGATTTTCTACTTGGTTAGTTTATCAATAGCGCTATCGACCAGATATGGCATGCCCGCCAGTAGCGTAAAATTTTATTAATTAAAAAAACCGGATGTGTACCCCGTTATGTGTAGCTATGTCAGCGATTACTCATCTCTGCAGATGCAGAGGAAATAATATAAATTATTGTAGAATGCAAATTCTACAACGACCACAAACGAGTGCGAAATAATGTTTTTAAACAACGGCGCTTACTATTCCACAAACTGTTTATTATTTTACTATGAATTGCAAGGACTAGTTAGCATTAGAACAATTGAATTACATCGATACTATATTTTATTTTTACAGTTATTATATAATATAAAAGTTTACGCTTTTCTATCAATTCTTCCATGCATTCGTATAGAAAGTTGAAAGCACACAGGTAGAATACAGCAAAAATCTACCGATCAATGTTTAATGATTTTCAATGATGTTGATGGTAATATGCGACCCGATGTTTGCAGGTCTACTCATCTATTTCTCGTACAGCATACGAAGAAGTCTGGAATGCAGTCGGGAGGACGATCAGGAAATTGTACTCTACGATGTCGCTGAAATTTCATCGGACGTGGTAACAAACAACGAACGAAAATAATGCCGACGCAAGAGTGGAAATAGCAGACGACACCACAATCAATGTGTGTGTGTGTGTGTGTAGGGGGGGGGGGGTAGTTTGGGGCGCATGCGCATGTGTACATCGCGAGGATAAGCTAGCAAGAAGATATAGCGCGAGCACGTGACTTCCGAAGGTGCCAAATGTTCTGAAAGATAAACATAACGATACTCGTCGAGGATAACAGCAAATTCTGAATAATAGTGTTCTTTCATCTAAAGTTGAACTTAACATTTATTAAATAAAACATATAGCGTTTGTACCGTTATTAACTACTCTTACGGAGTAAGACACGCATACATAAATGTAAACATGCTTGTAGTTCAAAAACGAAAGTTCTCGCTAAAAAATATGAAATGGGTACTTATTATGGGTATTCGAAATATGTGTGTACATTAGCGTAAAATCAAAAAAGAATTATCCCTATATATAGTTTTGTAAGGACACAGATACGTAGAGATACCCGTTTTAACGAGACTAATCATAATGAGATTAGTGCATAAACTAATAGTGATCATTAGGCAAAATGATGGGCTTTCTGGTTTCGCCATGATGCACACGCACTATGACACGTATCATGTAGATCTAGAAGAGGCTGTCAACATCTTCAGCACCACATCATTTAAAGAAACTGGAAATAAACACCATATACGGCGACATACCGTAGACGCTAGTGTCAGTTCTAATAAGTTTTTCACGCCTAGCTTTATTTCATATGAGAGTGACACAGACTTCTGAACGTATTTATGTGTTCATTGATGTACTGATAATACGTGTTTTGTTTTATTCATGTTTGTACATTATTGTACACAGTTTATTCCAAAATAAAATATTCTGAAAGAATTTATAGTGTTTCTGTAGCATGATTGCCTTCATGTAGTACACAGACGAAGTGGTCGGCTCCCATGTACCCCACCTGGTATGCTCGCTACGTACGTGTTATCTCCATGTCTCATTCTGTTTCGGCTTCTCTCTCTCTCTCGCTGTCGGGTTCACTTTAATTTAACTCTCTCTCGCACTTTATCGTTATTTATTTTATTATATTATATTATATTATATATATATTATATTATATTATCATTATATTATATTATATGTATATTATATATATTATATATTTATATTGATATTATCATATTATAGTTATATTATATTATTTCATATTATATTGTATATTACTCTATTATTATATTCATATTATCTCTAATGTATATTGTATTATATTGTATTATATTATATCGTATCACTATCATACCATATCATTTCAATATCACTTCATATCATTCATACAATAACATCATATGCATATCATATTCATATCAGTATCATAATGCATATCATATTATTCATATCATATCATATCACTAATCATATTATTACATATCATATCTAATATCATATCATATCATATCATATATACCATATCATATCATAATCATATCATATCAATATCTATATCATGTCATATCATATCATATCATATATTATATTATATTGTATTTTATTATATTATATTAAATTTTATTATGTTATATTATATTATATTACATTCTATTATATCACGTATTTTTATTAATTGTTTTCACGAATCTGCCCATTAATTTTGTCATAATGTGCTTACGAGAATTCCCGTTCGTCCATGTTTACGACAGCAAAGAATTACTTTGTATCCATCACGGAAGTTCACGTTCATTATACCGTATATTATAGGGTTACAGCACGAGTTAAAATAACCCAACAATATTGAAGATATGTCGACGCCGCGCGGGACAGGATACGGCGAGAACAAGGACCAGAGCATGGCGATGCAATATGGTAGCCAGCAGACGACAAAGGTAGCGATGACGACGAAAAACGTTCGGGTCAAACGCATCTCGTTCTGCCGTTCCTTGCGTTTCGCCTTCTGCATTTTGTCGTTCTGCTTCAGATGTTGTCGATTGACTGACGAAACCGCTTGAGGGTTTCCTTGCCGCGTCGCCGCAGCACCACTGACCGTGACGAGCACACTGTCACATTCTGGGCCTGTTTTCAGTCGTCGTTTGCTCGCTCGGACGTGACGGATTATGTTCGAGTATGAGAATCCCATAGCGACGCACGGTCCCCCGAAGCACATACCTAGCATGAGGAAGGTGTAGGAAATGCTCGTCTTCCACTGGCAGAAGCACAACGATTGGCCGGGAATGTAGCCGTATTTGCCCCAGCCGAGCAGCGGTGGCGCCGCTAGCGTCAGCGCCAAGAGCCACACACCTGTTGCCAAAAAAACCAGCCGGTTCGTCAGAAGAGAAAGTTCTTACGAACCATATGAACAATCGTATAGCTATGACTAAAATTATAACTATGAAAGGCAACGAATTATATTACGATACGATAATATCCTTAGAGCACATACTGTAACAACGCAGCTAAATTACAAACTCCGAAAATTGGTCATAAACTTCATGAGGCGATTGTACTAGTATTCACAGACGCTAACAATGTGACCGCAATAGTAAAATAATAATACAATCGCTATTTTTGTAAATGTTTGTTTTGATAGCCAACCGGAAATAGCATTTAGGAAGAGTTTTTCAGAGAAACTGCAGTTTTTGCAAAGTATCACATATATATATGTATAAGTAAAGTCACACACGAACACCCGTGTAGATAAAAACAAAGTCAAAGTATAGAATAAGGGTGTTTAAAGTTTAATTGACGAGCTTTCGAGATTACATCTCTTCATCACGAATGTGAATTATATATATATATAGATATATGTATATATCTATATATATCTATATAGCAGCAACACAGTAGTTGTAAATTTTGTTGTGTAATTTCGTCGTTTGCATTGGCGTTTAGCTCGTTGCAAGCGGCTATACGGCATGGCCTGACATATCGTAATATCTGACAAATCTTCTGAGATTTGTCATTGTCATAGAGTCACGACGACTCACCATTCTGACAACAACCAGCCGATGTCAGGGAATAATCGGACCTGCATGTCGCGGGAAGTGGTTGCTAATTAGCAATTCAGTGCGCGTTTTCGCACCAATAATACGTCGTTTTATGCCACGCAACGAGAACGCAACCGCATCGAGTGCTGAACTTAATTGCTGGCATTCAGTGAAGAACATCAACCTATCGCGATTTCCCTCAAAATTGGTCAGCTAGTAAGTGAAACGAATGTTGTGACATGTAGACAGATCTAATTAGAAGGAATATGTTCCAGCAAATGTGAACGGGTAGCAACACAGTAGGTTGGTACATCGTGATACCCGCTAACCCACCAGGGGCCGCTGTACGCCACTAGATAGCGCTGTTCAATTGACACTATATTCGGAAATCTTCAGAACCTACTGTAGTATGCATGTGCAAAGTTTCAGATTTCTGCTCAATTGGCACTATATCGAAAACTCAACAGGAACACGTGTATTAAAGGGACAGTAGCCTCTAGGATTTTACTGCATACAACTGTACTTACTGTATATCTAATCGTCTATAATCACACGTATTTGTTACCAGATACCTAATTTAATTGTTATAATTAATTACACATCAACACTACGAAATTTGAACGGCGCCATGACACCCGCGACCGTGCTGCCACCCCGAAAAAGTTGCATATTTGACCATTTATTTTGCACGTTACAGACCGAAGGCTAATCAGAAAAGTGCAATTATATTTATACCTAAATGCTATTTAACCGAACGATATTCATTTTAGGGCAAATTTATCGATATTATAACTGAAACTATATGTCGTTTATAAGATAATGAATAAATAAGAAACACCTTCGGTCTGTAGCCCTTTGCTGAAAAGTGGTTTTGCGCAACTTATCAGACCGTGCGCTTTGAGTGGCGCCACCGTCGTTGTAATCAAACTGTAGTCGTTAGTTTTAAAACATTTTAAAATAATATTTCTAATGGTGATTGAACCATGAAACTTTTCATGTAGCGTAATTTTAACCTAAATTAACTGAAAATAACCCTAGAACCTAGAGTAAACGATCTCTTTAAGTGTGTGCGAAGTTATACATTTATTCTGTGAACAATGCCGGTTGCATTCATTACGTGTTACGTTTAGTAATAAAGCATCGTCGCTGCAGTCTTGTTAACATAGAGTATTTGCCCACTAAATAAGGAACATTTTGACATATAGCATGCTCATGCAGACTAGACAGTTTTTGATATATCGATCATTTAATATACTAGTGGAAGGGAAATTTTCATTATTTTTAACCAATTCATTGTTTCAACCTTATTTTATCACAACTTACAGATAGCTACACTCAATAAATTGCTTCTATAGTAATAGTATAGATATTTACGAATCATTTGAGCTATTTTCTGAATTATATGAGTATTATCGTAATTATAGCCGGAACCCAACGGTGTAACGCAAACTCCACGACAGATGGCGCTCTCGCTCTGGCTCTGGCTTCTGAGTTGTAGAAAGGGAGCGCTGCATGCAGTTTGGGTGTAACCATAGATATCATATAACAACAATTTACAAATAATAACAATAAAATACAAATAAATAAACATAATTGTGTTATATGATATCTATGGGTGTAACGAAATATCCGTTAACCCGCTAGGGAGGCGCTGTACGCCACCAGGTGGCGCTGTTTAATATTGTATTAATTATGCGTGTGCAAAGCTTCGCAATTCTCACCAAAAGTGAACAATGTGCCCATTTTTATGTGCTTATCCGCTGGACTCTGCGGGTTATTCCATTTATATATAGCTATTTGATTAGCCGGTAAAGCGTACAAATGTAGCAGCGACCTCCACGGTCCGTAGTGCGGAGCGCGTGCGCAACCTGAAACCGCGCCCTAGAAATAGCCTCTAGAAATAAGCCATTATGTCAGTGCTATATACGCGTGCTACCTAGGAATAGCCGATTACGTATGTGGTAAAAGTAGACGTATCTAATAGCACACGATCCGACGTCACGAGGGGCAGGGGAGTTGCGGGGACCAGAGGCCCTCCGTATACACGTGCCCTTATTTTATGTTAAAAGATGCGTAAGCTGAGAGCACTCGCCGAGGACGCTCCGTCGCCATCTTGGCGCAAGCTAAAAGCGATCACTATTAGATTTCTAGTTCACCATAGCGTATACACTTTACTAAATTGCATAGATCCCCCGTGCGCGTTCCGATTACAGTTCTTTAGTCCTACGGGTTCCTCCAGGGTCCTCCAGGGTCAGAGAGTTCCCGCAATATATAGTTAGGGCCTATCATCGTGAAATGTCGTGTTTTCGTGTGCTCCCGGATTTCATCTAGTCTGTGTGGTGACTTTTTGATTTACTAGAATAAACCTGTAGACCGTTCACCACACCTACTTGTTCGCGTCTACTGTGTGGTACTGATCGTCTACACGTTAATACTCACATCTCCCACGCAATCCTCGAACAAGGACATTGATACCTACCGCGCAGAACCTGGGAAGCCATACACACATCGCAAGGTACACCAACGAATATTTCCACAATCACGAGGCAATAACGCGCAGTGTATCATTTAGCGCAGTGACAGCGGTATCAGTATCACTTGATACAGAACGTCGGGTGATGCCATTCATCTGACAACAATCATCGAACAACACCGAACCCCGGTATCCCTGTGAACAGGATAATCGATGCCCTGTGAACAAGAACGAGATATCACAAACAGCTGCGCTATTTCATCGATGCGGTTTGTCATTGCTGTGGGATGGTTTTTAATATGAAGCATGATTGTAACCACATGCACCTGGAGCGTTTCAATAAAATGTAATGCTAAATAAATACGAAATCTATTTACTACCAAATTCTTAATGTTTCTCTACTCCCTTTCACCTATTATTGCCGACAATTTCCTGTAAATGCCGTCCAAATGCTCATCTGCAACACACGCTGGCTGCCGCACGCCAGCTGCTGCACACTGCCCAAACCTAGTAAATGTCTAGTATCGTATCTCATATATGCCTCATATCATATCATACGTATCTCATATACGCATTTGCGCATCATGGTAGCTCATTATCTTGCGCATTATACATCGCCTAATCTATTGTTTGGTCATCTTTATTTGCGACAAGGTGTTGCCGTGCGCGTTAATTATTACATTATATGCATTTCATTTATAATGTAGAGGAAAACATAAGAATTTATTCATCATTCATATTTCATTTATTCTACAACATCTGTTGCTTCCATAATAATGATGGTGCTGATTCCGAGCTATGATGTGTGTGCTGAATCATTAGGTGGCTGCTTCTCTATTATGAGAGCCTTCCTCCACAGAGACCGGAAACT